CTATATTCTTACTATACGTACCTAACCTTAACTACGTACGGTAGTAACTAATAGTTAGTTAGTTTAGTAGTAAGTATAGTAGTAATAACCTACTATATATATATATATATATATATATATATATATATATATATATATATATATATATATACATACACACACTTACACACGCGCATTGAGCAGAGAAACATATCCACACACAAGACAAGCATATTTCCATTCACACCGCCCACAAATAGAGAATACACTGATATATTTTTATATTAGCGCTACCAATGGGCCAGCCCTGGCCTGAGAGGGAATAGGGTAGGCCCGGCCTCATTTCTTAGTATTTTAGCCTGAGACCTGCCTGAAAAAAAGGGTCTTACAAGTGATATAACATTTTATTTAATATGTAAAACATATAATCCAAATTCTATTTGGGCCGAGGCAGGGTCAGGGCCAGCCCTGACACAGCCCAAAATCCTTTTGGGCCCACAAGGCCAGCCTGAGAGCCTGCAGGCTGGCCCGGGCAAGTTGGCAGCTCAAATGTCAGTGCCTACACAAGCAAATGAATAAATGATATTTGCTACTATAACATGCATATATACACCACATGTCCATCCAACACACACATACATATCTCTTTATAGGACTTTGTGCTTGACAGTGTATATACTCACAAAGTACACCAAACACAACCAGTGACAACTATAAATATGTAGATAGTACACATGCGTAAATTACATTAGTAAGAACCCCATGTGTCTGTGTGCGTGTGTGCATGCATAGTTGTATGCATCTAAAGTATATCAACATAGAAAACAAACAGTTTATGACCCTTTAAATCAAATAAAAGGAGATGAAACAATACCTCAAAATACGAGCTATAGAAGGCACCACCAAATCCAGCACACCAAGACATTCCAAATTCGGCTTCGTTATGTCCATCTACATGAGACCCGGTGCAATATAACATGAGAATCCAGCCATGAGCAATCAAGGTAACTATGAGAAACTAAAGTCTCCAAGCATTTAAACCGATAAGCAATATTATATTCATTTGCTGAAAGATTTAAAAAGATGAGTATCCATAAGACATCTGAAGTTCGCTATTTTGAACAAACTGTTTTGAACAACACTTATAAAAGAAAAAAGTACAATCAACCAAAAATGAGACAAGAATCGAAGGAATAAACGCATGCATGCATATGTTCAAGTCCACAAGAGTGTGGTTGCATGCTAACCCTCTCTCTTTTTAACTACGATGAGGCAAGGGAATTATTATGAGCAAGAATTCATTAAAAGTCTGTCCAGACAAAAAAGAGGATGGTACAGACGTTGGCATCTAGCAATAAATAACAATATGACTACCATGTCTAGTTGGCATACTACGAGAACTTAAGGTGCTATTTCATTGGAGTTTGCACTTGCAGTACATAGAAGAGGATTCCACAGTATCCAGAAAGTGGGACTGACCAGAGACCCTTGGAACCAACCTCTCTCTGAGTAGAAGGCTTCTAATGGAGATGCATCATGCATGGCATAAGAGAAGTGAAATAATGATGGGGAAAAGGAAGAAAGTGTAGGATTAACAGAGTTTGTTTCTAACTAATAGGGACCATAGCTAGTGACGTTACAAAATACAAATGAGTGTTACTAACATTCGGACAGATCTTCCCGAGATCAACAAGAGTGGTAGAATGGACAGACCCATAAAATTAAGTATATAGAAAAGTTGCAATTGAACATGCGATATATGCGTACTGTGAACCTCTTTATGAGAATAGAAAATCTCCACTGTGTCTTTTGAAAGGAATAGGAATCAAGCACCTCTTGTTACATGACCACTTGGGGACACAAGAAGTATAATAATACAAGAAGCAAACTTACAATAGCATGCAGGATCCAATATAACAGGTTCCCCATTCCTGTCAGAGCTAATATTTCCACTCCACAGGTCTCCATGAAGCAAACAAGGCTCAATGTCAATACCTTCAAAAAGAAGTGGCATACTCTTCAGTAGCCTTTGCCCTGTTTGAATCAAATAGGTAAAGATAGGCAATCAAGATCCTGATAAAATATCACTTTAAGTCATAGTCTCTAACGCAAAAGATTAACCATCAATGGACTTTTCAAATGAAACTTTTTTCCTTTTTTGTTAAGTAAACATCACTGTACTAACTCATTCTTAGCATTTAGTAACCCAACCTAGCATTTCATGGACCACATTACCTTTTTCATAAATGCTTGCATCCCCATATTGATCACGAGCTAACTTCAACTGGTAGCCCAATCGATGCTCAGAGAAAAAGCTGATCCAATCTGTGGACCAGGTGTTTATCTGAGACGTGCTACAACAATCCGAATTGATGTGTTAGCACATGCAATACTGCAAAGAAGAAAGTATTAGCATATGAAACAATCACCTCAAAGAGAAAGAACATAACAAAAAATAAACATATATAAATTTGAAGGATAGACATACACCTCAAAGATATCTGGTGATTTATATTAAATACAATACGAAAATTATATCATAACACTGCATATATGATTGGCTAAAAAATATTCTACCTGCCTATGGTGTTGTCGACTGGACATAATACCTCAAAGATATCTAGTGATTTATATACAATACGAAAATTATATCATAAACACTGCATATATGATTGATTAAAAAATATTCTACCTGCCTATGGTGTTGTCGACTCGAAATCCAAAACCCTTGTCAGATTTTCCAGCTTTATGCATTTCAGCAAGCTTTCTCCCAAGGACTGACTGAGCATAGATAATGGTTACATGATTTAACCAATTTCAAATGACCATCTCACAAGGTCAAGGACAAAAAGAACCAAATCACCTGATTACTTCTGGATGATCCAAACTCAATAAACTCCAAAATGATATAGGAACCTCCTCTAGCTAACGGCCCAAACTGCATTATTAAAAATGGATCAACTTTGTTCCTTAGTGAGCTTAACTTACAAACAAGCAATGGTGTTCTAACAATAACAATAGATTCAGGGGAAGAAAAAATAAAACATAAAAAAAAAAAACTGAAAAGAAGTACCTTGAAGGGCCGAGGCACACGTATGGAATTGGTGGCATACATTGCGCCTAGACCAATAGTCTCCCCTTCAAACATTGATGGTCCTACACTCCTGTTCATGTTAAAAAGCGAAAAGGGAGTTAATTTTCCCAATAACTAAGGGGAGCTTGTACATGTCAAAAGATACATTCTTTAAACAATAATCATTAACTAACTAATCAGAGCTATTTTAATTGAGTTATAACAACCAGTATGGCAATTACATGCAAGATCTCATTAGCAATTTGGTTCCGAAATTCATTGCAATGAAAAAAGTTATACAAACAAATGGTAATCATAAAAGGCAGGAAAGAGTTTATCACCGAGAAAACCAAAAAAAAGAAGAAATCCAATGGTGCCATCATGTCTATTTGATCAATAAATATTTCTATCGAAGAGATATTCCGTACCAACCACAAATTATTTTTATATTCACAAAGAAAAACCAAATCCAAGGTGGTATAAAGCTGTGATGGGCCAAAAAAGATTCGAGACTCAACTATCTTCACAAAGTTAATAGAATTCAAATAAATCCATTGACGCGTTTCAATAAAAATATGGTAAAGGAGTACAAGAAGTCAACTAGATATAGGTTATACTAACCTATTTGTTTTGACAAAAAAGGAACCTGAATCAGTCTCATATTCATATGCGTTATTGATACAGCCTCCACCAATAGGACTTATCTTGGTTATCTTCGTTGCCTTCCCCTCTGTGAGTATCCATTCACTCACAGGATCATCACTTGAAACTGCCACTGAGTATTTAAGAATGAAAATTAAAAATGAATCAGCAAAATTTCTTTCACACTCCTGCTGGAATAATAATCAATTAAACCTAATTTAAAAAAAAAAAAAAAAAAATCACTCAAAGCTATAAGATCGCAAAATTCAATATAGGTAGTATCAATAAAATAAGATAATAGAAAAACAAATTAGTGCTTTACTGCTTTTTGATAAAAATTCTAGAAATATATACACTTAAATCCCTGGTTCCATGTTAAAACCTTTGAGGCCAAGTGAAATAATTACATCAAGCTATGAGAAAGTGAATTCTTTCCCAGACTTAATATTATTAGAAAGAATCATTTTTTATGTTCTGGACCAATATAAAAATATATAAAATTACTTTATCACTCCAATAAGTTTTTGAGACCCAAGTGAAATATTCACGTAAGGCTCTCAGGAAACAAATTCATGGACAGTATTAATACAAAGGAGAACATATCCATAAACCACATCAAATAAAAATATCGTCCAAGTTCCAATCTCACACTAACAAAATGCAGCATCCCCATTCAAATAATCAATCCAAAAGTACCATTTTTGAAGTTCTTAATCAACATATGTGCACATTACTTTCTCATTCCCGCAAATTATTGAGACCCAAGTGAAAAAAAAAATCACATTAAGCTTCCATTAAACAAGTTCAGTTGACAGTGCCGACAAAAAGGAGAAAACATCTATAAAAACATCATCCAAATTCCAATTTCATACTAACAAAATACAGTACCCCCATTGAAATAATCAGTCCATAAGTTCAAAACACAAGTTCATCGCACACCCACAATAACTAAACACAAATTCAAATTCACTGCATAACTGTAAACTTATCAAGAGACGGAACAAAAAAAAAAGCGGCACAAATTCCGTGGTGTGGACTTACTTGCAAACGGGGTGCAGAGAGTGGGCCTTCTGAGTCTTGGGGAAAGAGGGATTATATGAGGAGACAGAGAAGAGAAAGAGAAGAATTGAAGAGAGAGAGAAAGGGAAGAAGAGAGAGGAGAGACAATAACCATACTCACACCGTGCGGCTTGATAGGGCTCTTTCTCGCATTTTATGACGCAACGGTGTCTAACGTACGAAGCCAGAGGGGATTTTTCCCGCACTTCAATAGGGCAAGGGGCGCCACTTAGTTTTAGTCTTGTGGTCCGCACGTTCAAAATAAGGGCACCACAATGAAGATCATCTCGGTAGCAAGATCGGATTGCTTCCGGGAGGATTGGTTTATACTTTATACCAATTAATTGGTTAATCTCGTCCAAAGTAAAAATTGAATCTTTCGATTGAAATCGATATATGTCCGATTATGATTAAACTAATTGGTTTTTGCCTAATTAAATCCACTAATCAAAGTTGATTTTTTTAAAAAAATCTATCCTATTTTTTAAGTACTTTTTTAGAAAAATAAAACTGCGATGTTTTATGTTATTCATTTTAATGGGATGATATAGATTTTATGTTTTTCTAAAAACAATGTCAGAAAATGACATGCTTTTTAATATAGTGCAAAAGCTACAACATCTAACTTTTTACACTTTTTAATGGATGTGTAAATTACTTAATAATAATTTATGTTTTAAACTATTATTCCTTTTTTTTTACTTTTTAAAAATATTTACCTTTAAATCATTGGTTTGAACTGGCATTTTTGGTAAACTATAATGATTTTAGCTAGACCAAACCCTTCACCGATCAAGTAATTTTCATGGCCCTGACAATAGTAGTTATAATTATATACCCTTTCATGCTAAGGGCTATACTCCCTCAGTGATACTGTAAGTCCTCATATCTTTTATCACTATTTCCGACTAAGTCTTTTTGTACCACAACAAAACATGAACGAAGACTGGCAAATGAATCCTATCCAACCCACTTTTTAAAAAATTTACATCCTTATTAAAATACCATAAAAACACAAGCCAAAATGAACCATTGAATCCCATCCAACCCACTTTTTAAAATTTTTATATCATTATCAAACGGAAAAAGTTTATATAAGGTCTCAACCTTATACTGTATAGGTAAGGTGCACCTAAAAAAACCACTAGTGATCATTGTTCCTATGCTGGAAAATTATCAAATCGATCCTTTGGCATTGAGATTCATAAACATGGAAAAAAGGGGATTTATAGTCCTATAAATAGTTCATCTTCTTACACATTATATGGACCAGCCATTTTTCTAGATTTTCAAGTGTTTATATATCTGCTTGATCGTTACAATTTTTGGAACTTTAAATTTTATAATTGAGGGCAACAATATATTTACATATCATTGCAAGGCTTTGTGGCACCGAAACTGCACTTTCGACATGGTATTGAGCTTCACCTTACTTCAATAGCATAAGGTTGACACCTTATACAAACCTCACCCTTATCAAAATACCGTAAAAAACAAAGGGAAAATTTATACAAAACCCTAATTCCCCATCTTATTTCATGGTAGACCTTCCTTCTATTTTTCTTTCAAGCTGCATGAAAAAATCCCTAAAGATTTCACAATACCCCCTCATCTCTTATCTCCATTATTTATTCATTTTTGACTATAAAAATTAGCCCCAACATACATGTTTATACCATTTCAACTCAAAAACGTTTCAAAAACTTTTTAACCCACTCTAGTATATCTTTTAACCCAAAAATGTTTCAAAAATATTTTCTTTTTATATTTTTTGCATTTTCAACCCCTCAATGCCACGTTGAGGGCTCCCTATCTCTCTCTCATATTGGGTTGAAATTGTATACAAATGTTTGTTGGAGCTAATTTTTATGGTCAAAAGTGAAGAAATGAGGGAGATAAGAGATGAGGGGATACGGTGAAATCTTCAGAGATTTTTTTATCCTCTTTGAAAGAAAAATAAAAATAGAGTCTACCATGAAATAAGATGGGGAATTAAGGTTCTATACGAAATTTTCCCAAAAAAAAACACAAGCCAAGATGGGCCATTGAATCCCATCTAACCCACTTTTTAGTAGCTTGAGCCCAATTTGAATTGGGCCGGGAGGGATAGCCATTGCCCCTACTAGCTATGACCCTTTGTTATCGCACTTCCATTTCCCCTTATTTATGGGGCCAGGTTAATTAAACTTTATCCAAGTTAATTAAACTTTCTCAATGAATCATTAACAACCAGAACTTCCTGTCTAATCGATTCTGATCTCGATAACTCATCGTATGCATGCTTGCGACTTTTGCGTACTTCATTACCATTGCTTGCATGTATTTTGGAAGCATAACCACCCCCCCCCCCCCCCCCCTAATTGTTACACCTCAAGAATTACAATACTGATATTCCTGAGATGTGACAGTCAAAACATATATACATCTCTTGATAGGACAAATTTAAAAAGGTGAATTCTTACAAAGTAACAAAAGAAAGCTTAGGCACAACTACAATATCTTCCAAAATTGCCCTTGACGAGTACTCAAAATGAAATCGCAGTTATCCTGAAAAATGTTTACCATAGTTTGATGAGCTTCGCTACTCAGTAAGTGATCATCATAATCCTAAAAAAATAATCATGATTGAAAGATATAAATGAACTTTCAAAATGGAGGTCAATTAAAAACAATGCGTGCACAAGCATTTTCAGAAATGCACAATTAAACATAATCCAAATGATTGAAATTTTTAACGGCAGTGCATAATTCAAATATTCCACAAAATTACCCTAC